AATTTTGAAGGCAGAAGATGAAGTGAGGGTGCTTGAAAAGCCTGTCATTCCGAGCATAGAGCGTTCATGGTAACTTGGCGGACTTCCCTGATAAACGTTTGGTAACTTCAAGAACCTTTTTACGATATTTCGGACGCTCTTGCAGACCAGTTTCAGACGACAGACTTCAAAGCGATGCCATCATTTTTGACAACAATTCTCTTTTGCTGGTGAGCGAGACTTCTATGTAGCGATGGTTTGCAGTTGACTGAGAATCTAAGCGAAAGAAAACCTGATAGCTAAGGAAGAACAAAACTTGTTCACACATATTTCAGCGTTGAGGTAGCCTTTGGCATTCTCCTTCTTAGAACATGGCTGAGAGCACTCTCACTTCGGTCATAACATCAACATCCATTCACAACAATCGAGACCCTTCGAGATAAGTTCGCTGACCCTGAGTCCGCCTAAGAAAACCCAGTATTAATTCGTCCAGTGATCTGCCCTTGTGCGTCAGTGATTAGGCCGAAGGCACACTCGGCTGCAACTACGATTCTGAATGCATAGCGAATCCCAGATGGGGATTGATCGTCACGGGAAGCTTTGCACCTTTCTTGTTTCTCGATTCCAGTTCATGCTTTTAGTTGAAAGGATTAATTTCGTCCGTTTACGTAGTCAACCACGAACATTTTCAAGTCTGCTGCCCACTCAACGGTTCTTTCTTTCACTTAATGGGAAACGTCATTTGAAAAAAAACTGTGAGCGTAATTGGTTGTCCTGAAAGGAGGTTGTCAAATTTTAAGGCAGAAAATGAAGTGAGGGTGCTTGAAAAGCCCGTGTCATTCCGAGCATAGAGCGTCCTACCTACGTCATCTTGTTAGGCTCGGAGGGACAATGACGCCACTTCGTATGAAGGGCGGAAAAAGTTCCGCAATTTGGCGAAAGAGAATGAAGCTGTGGGCGAGAACGAATCTAGCCTTGAAAATAGGGAGATAAAGTGCTATGTACATAAATATTAGTGATCAAAGCGGTGCCAGCGTGGTTCAGTGCTGGGGCTGCGCTGTGGATGGGCAAGCTGCTTTGGTAGGCTATGCCGTGAGCGGCTTAAAAGGCAGTTGGCACGATGGTTTCCTACTGCCTAAAATGCTAGTAGGGCGCTGTATAGTGGGGAAATGGCGAAAGAACGGAGTGAAACGGTCAAAATCCTGCGAAGAAAAAGCCTCCGTTCTCAGTGACTTGTAAATCGATTTCGGACGAGTTTCCCGTAGGCATCTTACCAATCACCGAAGATACGGCCATATGTGTACCCATGTATGCATGCAGCATCACGGCCGCTTCATACCAATCCCTTCGCTTCATAATTTGCTTAGCAAATGAATGAATACGAGCGTCAGGAACGGTCGTCCATTTGTGGGCGGGCGGGCGTGGCGGGCGTTTGGGACGTAAAGTTGTGGCTTGATAGGGCCCTTATAAGGGCACCTTCCTCGGGGAAACCGCTATGCAGCGCCTGCCCAGGGTCGCGGAATTCTATCCTGCCAGGAGTATTGATCCTAGTCGTCTTGGGGGATTTATCGTGCCAACTGCCTTTAAAGCGTAACTCCATCCCCTCCACAATTTCGGTTAGTAATGGTGAGGAAGGTGGTGGCGTCAAATGGCGTTCGCGCTGAAAATGAATGAAATTTTCTCGATTTTTGGAATAGTAATAGTGGAGTAATAGTTAGTAAACAGTATAGAACAAAAGCGCCAATATTTAAACGACTTGACGGCAAAGTGCTGATTAGTCGAGACTTTGGTCTTCTAAACCACACCCGAAAGTTAGTCATCTCCACCTCCACTCACCTGAACCTCTTGGTCTCAGCCGGGTCGAGCGTTTCGAATGAAATTGTTCTCCGTCAATTGCAGTAATCGCCAACTTTCAGCCGCATGGTGGTTCTCCAGCACTGATCGGTCATTGTAGAGAATCGCCTGCACAACAACACAACTTATTTGTACTGCTGTGCATACAGCTCGATTTTAATGGAACCTTCTTATCCTCAGCGGCGACCAAAAAGGCATTCGTTCGACCGGGATGATCGTAGTCGTGCATGGCGGCCGCCGTATACAACGCCATCAACTGCAAAAATTTATCCTTTACCGAGGTGCTGCTTTTAGTATCATACAGTGTCTAGTATAAAAATATATCGCAAAAAAAGCATGCCAAGAACAATTTTGCCCCTTTCGACATAGAAAGTCTATCCGGGAAGGGAAATGGGCACTTTGATCGCTTTGGAATCAACTTGGCATTTGCATTTAGCGGAGCCTAATTACACTCCATTCGATTTAGTATGAATGTGACGGCTCCGCTGTTCTGCTTAATTTCTGGTCCGGAAATGAAAGATGCTAAAGAGGCGGCGATTGCCTTTCCTCTAGATGGGAGCCTTCAAAAACCTGTAACCAACACTACAGCAAGGTAGAAAGTGAAGGCCGAACATCTCGTCAGGGAAGCTGTGTCGGCGAATTCTATTTTGTTTGAGAACCTTAAGGTCGGTTATCAGAAGAATGCTGAACACCCCAGGCGGGTCTTGAACTAGCAGCTCACGCTTTAAAGCGCGAGCGAGATCCGTTACTTCACCGGGGCCCACTCTTACCCTTTCAGGGGCTCTCAAAGGCTTTTTGTGTCATCGCTTACAGCACTGTTTAACGCTGGTGTTCCTCCCGAATAATAGACACAGTAGAATGAAATCTCGGTTGTTCCGGGTGAATCCAGGTCCCCGACGAATAGCGAAGCGTCCCCCTGCGCTAACTCTTGCTCCATCACAGAGAATTAAGTATTTAATTTGCCGGGAAGGCGAGTACTTTTCAAAACAGGACTAATCATGATGACCTCTAAGTGACCAGGGTTCACGGAAGGTTTCTTCTAATTAGATAGTATAGTAAGCATGGGTGGGAACACTTGAAACCGCTGCTTTCGTGCAAAGCCTTTTCCCGGGAAGTTCAACTACTGGCGGTCAACTGGTGTTCGTTTGGCGTCCCCGGGGGAACCAGTGGGTAGCTGCTATTATGCAGCGGTCATCGCAAAACTGCATGTTGTGCCTGGTCTGCCTAGTCTTTGATCTTGCGCGCTGGCAACTCTCGGTCTTTTGAACGCTGACTACTTTGTAAACCGGACATTCTTCCTGCATTTGCCGTCTAACGAAAAAACGGAATCAGGCGTCGTCTTTTTGTACAGCCGCCGCTCAAATTAGACCAACCGCATACTTATCCTCCTACACTGAGTCAGCTCGAGCTTAAATAAAGGCCGCCGGAAGGATGGCCACTGCAGGAAGCAAGTCGGCGCGAGAACCAAATGTTATCGCTCCAAAAAGATTGCAGATGAACTCGTTCGTGAAGCGTGTCTATTAAACACACATCCGCATTTGCAACTGGTGATTTTTCCAAAGACTGAATGCCTGAGATAATTGAGCTGAATTCGTCCCTTCTGCGGAATGAAGGGGAGGGCTGATTTTGAAATTCAAAATTGCGATGCTCCGCCCCCCTCCCGCCCCCCTCAACTGAAGGGTGCTGCAAGTGGTTCCAAAAGTCGCGGCCCGAACCAGGTCTTCACTGCAGCACTTCTAGGTCACACCCAGTTACGACTATCGAACAAACACCTGCACTTACTCTACTAAAGCCTTCTCTAGAAATTGAGAACTATTCTTTCTGAAAATAGCTTTTCTCATGGAAAAAATTATTCAAGGACCACTGAACGCTAGAACTGGTGCTCACCTCCAATGTGCTCATGCTGGCGGAAATCGGAGCAGCCAGTGTGAGCGGTGGGGGTAGAAGGGAATCAGGAGAGGAAGTCGGTCCAATAAGGGGACGCACCGGGTGACAAGTGAGGTAGTAGCAGCCGTGCAACACGTCTGCAGCGTGAACTCGGTTATGATCTGCAAATACTTTTATTAGACTCTTTACATCAAGAGTTATGTGAACAAAATCACTCACATGGAATATCCCAGTAGCCTCGTTCCAGAGCGTGAAAAAAATTGAAAAATTTAATCGGTGACAGCTTGAATATTCGAAACAAGTCCGCCTGTTTGAAAATAGTGTAGGTGATCTGGAAAGGAAATATTGCTTCGTGGGGACTCCTTTTAATTTGTAACCTGGAGAAACTACCTGCAACTTTCACTGTATTGGCCATTGAACTCACCCGGCTGAGCACCGTCTTATTGTGTTTTTCGGCAATTTCGAAGATTGGCAATGACCAGTCAGCCACCATCGCCATCACTCGGTCATTGTCGATATCCCTGGTATCGAACTTTTGGCCCATCGACCGTCGTCACAATGGTATCGCACAACGAACCGCTAAACCAAATCGTCATTGAAGGTAAACGAGGGGGTGTGCCTGAATGCTGAATTCAAAAAATACGACGAATTGAATGTTGCTCTCGCGTGAAAAGGTCATTTATCTTCAAGACAAACTCCACACCCACGTGGAGTGTCCCTCAAGGCTTTCGTTTAACTTTTCAAATTTATTCCTACCTACCCCCTCTGACTATTGGCGACTTCTCAGAAAAAGCATATAACTCCTGGGTGGTCTAGTCGAAAGATGGAGCATAATGGCAAAAGTCAAAAAGCCCATGAGAAGTTCTTGCAACAAGCTGAGCTCCAAGCTGAGGAAAAGTTACCTGATTGAAAGCACCTGATCGGGAACTCTTAAACGCATATGGCACGATAATACTCGATCCGAAACGCTAGCAGAGTGCTACATAGTGGGGAAAATGGGAAAAAACGAAGTGAAACGGTCAAAAACCTGCGAAGAAAAACCCCGTTCTTCATGACTCAGGAAGTAATTTCGGACGAGTTCCCCATCATCGTACCCGTAACTACGGTAGATACGTATATACTCATATATCCATGCATCACTGTGGACACATTATATCAATCCATTCGCTTCATATTGTCTGCAAATGAAGCAATACGAGCCGAGACAAAGGTACGTTCGTCCTTTAGTGGGTGGGTGGGCGCGGTAGGCGTCTGAGTCGGTATGTTGCAGCTTGATAGAGCCTAGCAGGTATCCTTGGGAAAGGCGCTACGCAGCGCCTGCTCAGGGGTGCGAAATTTCGCCTTGCCAGACGTATTAATTTTACTCGCCCTAGGCATCTATAGTGCCAGCAGTCTTTAAGGGCAAATTTTGCAATTATTCATAGGAATCAAAGTCATGTGAAAGGAAAGGTGGATTGAGACCCTGTGACCAGGGCGCATCCTACAGCTTATCTGAATTTTCGCAAAATGCGACCCCCTTCCCCCAGTTTTCCCTCTGGCATGACCTCTTCACCCATTGCACTTACCTACCATTTTCGGAGCTTATGTCCAGAAAAAACTGATTCGAAGGGTGAGGGCATAGCCTAGGTGAGTAAAACCCCAACAAAGCCAAGAAATGAAAACATGCTTCAGAAAGTATGGCCCCATTCGCTCCAGCGAACACATGGCCCCTGTCTCAGATCTCCAACGCATGATGTGCCCTGATTGGGGCAAAACGGACAATTTTGTGCTGGTTTTGCGTGAAACTTCTTAGGCAAAATGGATAACCTCTTTTTGGGTTGAGGCTTTTTGAATATATTTTGAAGTCCCAACAGCCATAAAGTGGCAAGGAAGGCATTCTGGGTTTCAATTAATGATAAGGAAGGCATTGTGGATTTGACGATGAAGGTAATCCAAGCAGATGTTTCCTTTGTGAATATTTCACCGGAATTGTTTTGAGGTGAAAAAAGAAGTTTCTAGGAATTGACAAGTTCGTTCTATTATTTTACGATATAACTCTGACAACATGAGGTCTAGATTGAATCCGCTTTTAGATTACGGGGCAAAAACGACCGTTTTGTAGACTTGTTCCCATGTTCCGCGTGCAATTTTATGAACATTTCTGGTTTAAGCTGAAAGTACTCGAAATCATCGGAGCCTCAATAGCTTTTCTCGGACTGGAACACTCACTCCAAAAGTAGGGAAAAAAGCCTTGTCGAAAATCTGTCCGGAAGCATTGTTGCGCAGGTGACTACCGACGCGTCTGTACCCTTGCTCGCTTGTGTCTTTGCCAGTTTTTTCCAATGAATTCTGTTGTCTCGCACTTAAAATCGATTGCAGCAACGCCTTATACCTTTTGCAGCCAGCTACACCAAGATGGAGTGTTCGGAGCAGTTCAGAACGCTCTGCCTTGGAGTCTTGCATTCGCCTCGTTAAATTTGGTTGGTATTGACACAGTAGGAGTCAGCAATAGCGTTCTCCTCACAACAGCACTCTAGTTTAGGAGGAAAATCGTCTCCACAACTAGTTTAACTGAGATTAATAGGTGAATTTCTAGTCACAGGCTGGGGATCACAGTTAAAAACTAGACGAATTTTCCTAGAGTATCCCGTGGTGATCGGGTGAGAGGGTGTCACTTCGACCAGATCCATTAATATTAAACGCACACATTTCAGGAGAATCGACACTGTCAGCGCAGAATATGCCATCGAGTTCTTTTTGACTAATCTCTCCAAAGGATAAAAGCGTTCAAGAAAAATTTTGCCTTTGTTGTGTGTATTTTGGTGTTGCTTAAATTTTTTCAAATATTAATATTTATACCCGAAAGGCTCAACCTCGCCGTCTTCTTTGGAATGGAAAATGCCGCTACTTCAGTGTCAGCGATAGAAATCATGTCAATTCACCAACCACTAAAAAGATTCAAAATGAAATTGAGAGCAGCTTGACTTCTCATCACGGCCTAGTCAATTGGGACAGGCACATGCGAAGGCGAAAGGAAGTAGACACTTTCCTCATGACTGGCCATCAAAATTGACGTTGCGGGTAACAAGGCGCAGACCGGTAATTTACTTTGAGTCTTTCAACGTCATTTACCTCAAAGATATTAGGTAATTTAGGTCTCAGATGTTCCCCTGTGAACCATAGTAAGCCCCATCACCACTGATTCCACCGCCGCGAGAACGTGGAACAAATTCATCATTGTGGACGAGCTCAACATGGTCTGAAGTGCGTGGGTTACCCTAGAAGCAGCCGTCTTCTCTGCGCTTATTCTTTTGCACAGAAAGTTTCCGAAACTGTCCCTGCCACAAGAAGGCCCCAGGAATTCGGCAATCGGAAAATGTCCCGAGGGTTCACAGTTTTTTTACAGTTAAGACTCAACCATTGCAATTACCTTCACAGTCATGCGCCCTGAGCTTCCACGCCTGTCGGTTTGACACTTTCTGAAGTTACAGTAGTTGAGGAGCGTCTGGATTTAATAAACTCCATTTACCCCAACATTTCTTGGAAACTATTTTCCAGGGGTGCGCTACGCTGAGCAGAGTGTTTATTGTGTCCATGCACACGCATTATCAAGGAAACGGGGAGGGCGTGGCTGCATTCTTCGCGTGAATATGGCGGCGGCTGGGCTTTTGGTTGGCTACTCTCATTTTACAGCGGTCGTAAACACGTCTTTGATCAACATAAAACAAAAGGATGGTTTTTCAAATGGAAATATTCCGTGAAAAACGCATCCTACGCCGTGTTGAAGCGGAGTACGCAGTCACGCCTCCTCCATATCCGGGATATGAGATGGGATGATTTTTCTCTAAAGATTAAAATGTAAAAGGATGGTTATACTGTTCATGTGTCGAGGCTGGGACCCTTTCATCAGAAAAGATGAATGTAGGCCACGTACCAGTAATGGCCTGCCTTAGCAAATTTCATGTGAAATTTAATTTTCCTGTGTAGCGCGGAGCATATCTGAATATAAGCTTTCACTGCTAAAATCGCTTACCGTTCTTTAGAAGCTACGGGCTTTTTGGTAGTTGGACTTTGGCTACCAGATGATGTACCTGAAAGACAGGTAAATTAGGAAGTTTCGAAGAAAACAATCAAACAATGAACCAAATAGTAAACGGCATTACCTGGAGTGCTTTGGGGGTGTGGTGAATGAACGTCCGTCGACTGAGAGGATTCAGGCTTCCAGTAGCTGTAAGAGTAAATATTTCTGGAAGATAGCGTAATTGAGACCCTCAGGTGACTGTGTTTTGGGGGGAGGTAGGTATATTTCATAAACGAGCTGCCCTTTCTGCTCCCCTTGTCATATGAAGCGTGAGGTAGCAAGCTGGCAATCAACGCGTGCGCTCTCCTCTCTCTTTCTCCAAGAATGAATTTTGCGCTACCACCATGTAGGCAGGCAAGTTGCACCTTTCTCATTATGCGGCTGATTAAAATATTCAGTGGGATTGGGCTCAAAAATCGAAAACGCGGCTAGTCTCCCAATCAGAGGGTGCAGGGCACGAGCAGTACGTGCGCAACAGTGATACCAAAGATGAATTTCCCCTCTGAAGTCATGCAGTACATGACTTTATGACACCATCCACTTCTCCTCAGTGACTGGTGGCACTCCTGTGCTCCGTAGAGAGTTGTCATTTAGCTATTATCGTCCAAGTATGGCTAGATTGAGTACTGGGGCAAATCCACTGAGGAGATTGAAAAATATGAATATCTCTACAGATTTGAGATTGCTATTAAGGAGTCGAAGACATCTGTCTAAGCCTAGATACGAAGGGTGAACAGGGGAGGCGGACAAGAGAATCGTAAATTGCCGCTTTGTCGCGCGCGGCAATGGGCGCGACGTCTCCTTAATTTGCACTACCCTTTCGATTGGAGCATCGGATTTCATGTAGACAAGTACAGGTACATGTGTGCTTATATTTGGTCATACATTGTCTATTCTCGACCAATACCACCTAAAATCGTCGTCATTAGCGGGCGCGACGTCGCACGCACACCCACCGGCGCGGCGAATTGCGATTCTCTTGCCACATACCCGGTCAACATAGGGTTAGCTGAATCCTGTGTACAAGAAAAGCAGCTCGCATTAATTTGCAAAAAACCCTTCAAATCCCCTTCTCTTTAGACGCCCCAAAATTGTTCAAATTTGACATTGAAAATCCGTGCAAGGGGCTACAGAAAGCTGCCCAGGTGAGAAGAGAATGTGGTCGATAAACCAGTAGCAGGTGAGACGGGTTTCTCATTTATTTTGAAATTATATCTCGGCATGCTCAAACCTTCAATAATGGCCACGCACGGCAAGCTGATGGAGGTTTTGTAACCGGACCGAGAGACTGGACCATTAACTCGGAAATGGGGCCAGCTAGTACCTTGCAAAAGCCTCGATGGCGTTTGGAATACGAGTGAGGTCACGATGAGCGGCGTGGATCCGGCGACGGACGAACACACCGAATGGCTGGATCTCGGTCGCTCCGCCTTTGTCCATTTACCTCATCATCGCCAGCTACATCACGTCCGATCACTGTCAACTCAATGATTTTCAGAAATCGCTCAAAAATTACGAAAAAAATGACGTATGGTGAAAGACAGGCGGACGAAGTCGATATGGAGGCGAGAGAGAACGACTATGAGATTAGAAGAAGCAACTAGTCATGGTGCGACTAACAACGGATGGGGGTGGGCTGAAGGAAGGAACTTGTGGGACGGCAACGAGGCTCCCCCTATTCGATTATCTCCGACCATCACACTTACACCCACATCCGTCTACCACCAAGCTTATACCCATGGATTCCATTTAGCAGCACATGTCCATGGATGGATACTAATTAATTATGGATTATTGAATGGTAGTCGTTCATCAATGCCGAGCAAAGGCAGCTAGTGGAGAGACGGCGGTCAGGCGTTTCACCTGTCAGCCGCCGTTGGCTTATACTGCTCATTCGGAAAATCAGCGTTTAGCAAACTTGCTGAGCATATACTTTGCTATGGCTTTCGTGATATGTCAAAAGCCTCAATTGCCTGTTGGATTCAGTTATCGGGTAAAAAGTGAGGAATCTGAGCAAGGTAGAAAGCAAAAGTTTTTCAATTAAGAGCATTGAATGCCTCTTTTTACTATTGTCCCTCTTCTTGAGGCTAGATCTCCATCCCTCAGAGGAAGTCGAGGAAAAGCATCACAGTAAGGTGTCAAACATGAGGAACCCTAGGAATATGAGGGTACAAAAGCAATAAGATAAGAGCAAAAGAGTAAGGATTAAAATTGTGCGTGAAATTTCACAAATTGGATTCCTCAAAAGAATCGAAGCAGGAGTTGTCTGTCGGTCTGAGCGTTTCTTTTTAAGGAGAAAGAGAAATATGGCATATCCCATAAGGTTTATGAGTTATGGATGCCGAATGATTTCTGAAGAATTCTCGTCATCAAAAAAAGGAAGCAAAGCTGTTCTACAAGTTGTAGGAATATCCATCCGTTTCAAGAGTAGTCAAGTTCAAGATGCAATTAAAAAAGGAAATTAAAGCCGAGGAAGCTTCGGTGATGTTCGCTCGAGCGCAAGCGATCGAGGATACTCCAGTGCAGTCGACCAGGCATCGATGCCCTTTCACTTTCGCGGACTACGGTAATTTGGAGGGAGTTTTAATGAGAAATAGCGTCGGGATGACTACGTTTGACAGCTAATGATATCGAGTGAAGCAGTGAATATTGGGAGCGCATAGAAAATCACCTCGCATGGGCGCGATGGATTCGAGCCACATTCTGTTCAACTGTGCACATTTCGGTCCACTAAACCAGCTCGAAGCGCGGCCGCAAACTCCGAAGGTGCACTTTCCCAAAATTATCCCTTTTCTCAAGAAAACTGGTAATTTTCCGATCTTCCGTCGCGTCATTCTGCTTTCAAGGCATGACCCGTCGTTGTAGGGGATTCCACAACAGGGGTTGTTTTACAACAGCGATTCCACAACAGGGGTCGGGTTAGTATTTGGTCTTGGGAGAGGGGGAGGGGTCGTACGGCGCCGTTCAAAATCCTCAACGAGTGATGTGCCCTGTTTCAAGGGCTACGACCCATAACCCCACCGCTCACATAAAAATGCGGTCAAATAAAATTATGCAGTGGAGGATTCGTATGGAGAGCTATTCTGCTAAAAGTACCATGATCTCTGCTCCTTTACCAATTGTTTACCATTGTGATTCTTTTGTTTCAATCGGATTAATTGCTTCTAGGTATCGCGTTCTTCGTGTAATGACGGGTAAATACCACCTGCAAAGCGGAGGCTCGAGGCGCGCTCCATGGGCAACATCGATATCAAAAAGAATATCCAAAGTTGGAAGAGACGACGGATTCTTCAAGAACGTTATCAGGACCATTACACGTAAAGGACGCCTCCTACGTGAGCCATAAGAGGGTTCCGCGTTGTTTTAGGCTATTCCCACGATCTAATAAAAGCTGCAGGAAACGGACGGTCAAAACAATGCAGCTGATTGTCACAGCTCCTCACTATGAATTATCGCTTCTATGGTAACATTGCGAGGAAAACGCGAGAATTGGACTCATAAAAGATGGCAGACTTCTTCGAAATATGTTGCGAAAATCACATGAGGTCGTAGAATGTTCTTCAACTATCTTATAGCATTACCTAGTTTCACTCCGCTCAGAGGAATCTAGACTCTAGAGGTTCTGGGCGCTCAGGGAGATCTTTCTAGGGACTATCAATTCACCACGTCACCTTCATGTTTTTCAAAGTTCCCAGAATGTATGATTTTCTTCAGTCAGATTTGTCAGCCTTGTGTTCTAACAGATATTCCTCAGCATAAAAAAAGAACAGAATGCGAAATGAAGGAACCAAAGGCATTGCGATTGGAACAGGGAACGAGAAGGCGAACTCGTACGAAAATCATCTTAAGAATCAGTACTTTGTCAAAGCTACGGCCAGGTACTATCCAGGGTAATTAGGAGGGCCATATTACTCGCACACGTGAGGCAAGTCAGTTAGTCGCTGTGGTCTAGAACACTCGAGAAAGAGCCACTGACATGGTCATGCCAAGGTCATCACAAAAATGATAAACCAGTAGAAATAACGTCCCCTAAGGGTACTCGAAACAATCTCTACCACGGACCAGCGCTAATCACCGTGAGGCGAATCCTGCCAGGTAGTGGTCCTATCTAACCCTTAAAATAGGTCCATATCGTTGATTTCACACGTTCAACGCGCGCTATACATCTTGCCCCCTTCCCGCTGCAAAGGCCGCGAAAGACTCACGTATGTCTACCCCACTCCCTCTACTCGATAGCGAAGTTCTGGTAAAAATTAGATTTGTTAGGGTGGTAGGCAGGCTTCCAAAGGGGGAGGCATATTCCAATGATGCACCCTTCGAGAGCATCATGAGGATGTGGTATTACGACATTCAGCTCATCTCAATGATGTGTCCTGCTGGGATATCTCACCGGAACGTGGTAAATGCTGTGCTAACTAGAATCCCAACATTCACCAACTGGGGAGGATGGGCCAGGAAAGAACATCATGTTCAACTACGTGAGATCTTCATCATCGATTCTAATAGTGAGAAAATTGAAAGGATTCTCGAATTTTGAGGACCTGAAGAGACTACAAATAGCATTTCTAAAGCAAGAGAAAAGTCGGGAGAGATAAAAATTCAAAAAGGCTTAAGAAGGTCATCCTCTCCCTCCTGCATTGTCGAATCAAGCCCCAGGCGACGGTTCCAAAACAGGGATGTGCACCCGACGCAACCCATACCCGGCAGATATGCTAACACCCCAACGATGGAACCTTGCAGTGTTTGCTTGCACTTTGGCGCTCAATAAAAAAAGTGAATTATTGAATCGAAAAAAAGTGGAAGTGAGAAACTAGAGCGTTTTAAAAGCTCCACGTACCACGGGTGCAGTTTTCTTCTGATTTCACGTAGAAAAAAAATTGAACCTTGAGCCGGTTTGATAATCCACCACAAATTGAAGTAATAGCAAGAAGTATCGGGTCTTTCGCAGAGAAATCAGATGAGCCAATAAAAATATGATCGCAAGTAGCGGATATCCTATGACAATAGGTAAAGTGTTAAAAATTGATAGTACGAGTGAATTTCAATTCAAAATGTGCAGTTGAGGGTCCAAGCATCGTTCACGGTGAAACCCGAGAAACGATGTCATCCCAAGTAATTTGAGAAAACATGGAGAAATCTCGAGGTCTGCCGGCTTCTCTGCCCTTGAGTCCTGATGCTGGAACTTCTAAGAGTGGAGGAATAAGCGCTGAGAATGGCCAAGTTATGAATCACTTATTTTTCAAATTTCAGTGCGATATCAACCTAATCGAGAGTCCAACAATCTAAAATATTCACTAAAATCCGAATTAGCTCATGAGGGAAC